GTCAAACAGTTAAATGAATGCAGTTGCATTACACAGTATAGTATATCCTGCAATTGTGTCAAAAGCATCTTAATGAAGGGCTCTGGAATTCCACTGACTGGATTATAGTAATTTTGTGAGTAATTATTCCACCAGCTCTGCAGTCGCCATATCCAAATTTATCTGTGCAAATGATTCCAGAAGATTTCAAACCTCGTCAGAATAGAAGTTAAATTTAACCCAGAATCAAACCCTCTGGTAAATTGTTGAGGTCCACTGCTTATAACAAGAACGTAACTAGGTTTGTTTTCGAACATGGGTAATTTATGGTGTTGGTGGCATAGGACTGAAATGTTTCTATGTGAAGATAGGAGGCCATTTCTGGAAACTATCATTCACATACTAATTATAGGCCCAACTGGGGCTCTTCAATTGGTAAAGTAGGTGGTGGATTAACCCAACAACCTGGCCAGCGATGTCTCTCTGGAAGGCCATGAAACTACTTTAAAGGTCAGTGAAAAACCAGTCAGTTCAGCCAGTGTTGAGCTCTTTAATACCAACGATGTTTTTTTAACTACACAACAAAGGTTTGTGGTTCCCTGCAAAAGCTTTCATTACTTCCCTCCCTCAGCAAAGTCCTATTCATTGTGTTGGGTACCACTTAAACTATGACACTTCATAAAGTTATAATTAGTAACCCTAATGTTTTTTCTTTCCTGCATGCTTTAATCAAGAACTTTTCTGGACTTTTACAGGTTTAGGGGCAGTCTAGCCCCTCTGAGTAACCCAGCCTTGTGGCTGCGTTTCTGTGCAGACTCTCTCTCCACCCCACTGTCCCCACCCCCTGGGAGGAAAAAACTTTAGGAGAGAATTAAAATTTGTATACTATGAGCAAAGTTTTCTCAGTTACCCTTAGGATTTGCTCCCTGTCATTATGTTATTTTGAGGGAGTAGATCATTCTTTTTTGAAAGGGAGGCAAGTGAAAACAAAGAAGATACTCCATTGCCCTTTGACAATTTGCAGTTTTCTGAAGCAGGAAATTGGAAGAGTGAAGCCCTGATCATCTCCAGGATGATTATTCAGCTGGAGTGTCAGTCCATCTCCCTTGCTTTTTTGCTCCTTTGCCTTTTCCTTCCAGGGCTTGAGGGTATTTCATTGCTCCTTAGAACTACCACCTGGTGATGTGCAGAGGAGAAGAAAACTAATTCAATCTAGCCTGCTTTTAACATGTAAACAACTGTCCTCCTCTGACTAGGAAGAATTAACAGGTTGAAATTGACAGAGAATCCAAAAAGGAGGTAACAGATCTGAAAGTTCCTCACATAGGGACTACACATAATAGAAATTTAGCAAGTGGGGTTTGATAATCCACATAGCAGTTTTCTACCACCTTTGACTGGTGGTTCTCAGCCAGAAAAGATTTTGCCCTGGCCCCCCTCCCCAAAGGGACATTTGGCAGTGTCTGGAGACATTTTGGTTTGTTATAACTTGGGGGTGATATTGGTATCTAGTGAGTAGAGACCAGGAATGCTTAACATCCTGCAATGCACAGGGCAGTCCCCTACAACAAAGAATTATCTGGCCCCAAATGTCAATAGGGCTGAGATCAGAACACCCTGCTGTAGATAAATGAGCATGTGCAATGTCTAATTTTAATATGATAAGAAGTAAGTTAAATCATGTTTTTGATCCTTACTTGACAATATTTAAAATTATTTGTTTGCAAATATGTATTTATCACTCTCTCCATTCACTGCCTATTTGTATTTCCAAAGTTAGTCTAGCTAAGTTTTCTCAACAATTAATATTCTCTATCAAAAAAAATTTTAAGTATCACTAGTCCCTAAGGACTGGAACCTTTAGTGCACTGAAACAAATTCATTGACACAAATCTAATTTGCCCTAACTTTTAAGAGATTTGCATAAAATCAAGAACACTAAGGGACAGCAATTTACTTTGTCCCTCTTCTCCCCTCTTAAATAGATATTAGTATCTATTCAAGTTGCCTAAGATTTTTTTCCCAGTCTTTAGAGATATTCTGTTTACTTTGAAATACTGCCAAAAATGAAATAAACACTGTTTTTTTAAAAAAGATCTATAAATAAACAAGAGGTTAATCCCCTTAAGAATTTAGACTATGGGCAATTTCGTTCTTGTCACATTCTTAATGGGACCCAGGGACAGAGTTCTTAAGAACAGACCAAAATGTTTGGCTTTCTCTTCGCCTGTGTCAGCCAGGCCCAATCCTCAGCTTACCCAGTCACCAACTACCCTAAAATAACCTCTCCACCTCAAGAGGCCCTCAAAATGCAAGATGGCAGCACAGGAATAGGAGATGACATTATCAGCATTATTTATAGCAGGGTGGAAATCCAATGTGTTAGACCAAACAAGCTGATCTTGTCACGTTTCTTTTGTGTGTTGGAATGCTGATAGACAGCTGCCAAACAGATCTGAGGTTTGAGGCCATAGTTTGAATCTAGTACATAGCTGACTGACTTTGTGGCTCTTTTATCAGAACAACATGTGGTCTGGCCAGTATTCTAAGTGTAGAAAGAGTTCTAAGATAGGAATAACCTAGTGGCCTGCTGTTGTCCAGAACATCTTTAGCATTTCACTTAACCCACTGTGGCAGTTCACAGATTTGTTTGGAATGTCCAAAAGGAGCCAGGAAGCTCTATCCAGTGGAACTTTCTGCAATGAGGAAATGTTACATATCTGCCAGAACCAGCTCACTTGATCACTGGCTCTATGTGGCTGTTACGCACTTGAAATGTGATTAGTGCACCTAAGGAAATGAATTTTAAATTTTATTTAATTTTCATTTAAATAGCCACATGTCCTCGTGGCTACTATAATAAACAGTGCCAATCTGAAAAACAGTAACTCATTATTCCACATCTTCATTATAGATATTTTGATTCCTTCTTCTTTTCTCTCAATTATAAATATAGCAAAATTAAAGAATGTTTAGAAAATGAAAGGAAATTCTATTCAATACCCATAATTTCATGAACCTAACAAAATTGTTATACATTTGGTAAATTTTCAAGGTTTTTTTCTATGTATTTTTAGATGAGTTCGATATAATTTATTTTATTTTGCTTTATTTTAATTTTATCTATTATAACCAGCTTTTTTTCACTTAACATTATGAGAGGAATATATTCCTCTACTACTAAATAATATTCACAAGCTATCAGAGTTAATGATTGCCTATTTCTTAGATTGTAGCACCATGATTTGTGTATTTCCTCTGTTTTTGCAATCTTGGGTTCTTCATTTGTTTGCTTCCTTGCTTGCTTGGTTTTATGGTCATTATAAAATAATGCTGTAGTAAACATGTGAAAGCATGTTTACATTTCTCCTCTTTAAGATATGTTTACCTGCCAAATGTTTGAGTCTTATTTAGGTAATAATTTACATGGTGAATCATTTCACTACCACAGAATCATTTTGAAAAAGTACTTTTTCAGTATTCATGTCAAAAACAGACTTTAAAGAAGCGAAAGGAAAAGAAAGCCAAGTCTTTTCTAGCTGCAGCACTATTAATTCAGTAAATTACGAGACAGATTACTATTCCTTCCCATAGAACAGGAAGAATTGCTGATAAAATGTAACTGTACTCAGGGCTGATGCCATAGACCTCTGCTTTGCAAATGGGGAACAAATTCCCACGCATAAATCCTACAAGTAAAATATTTTACATAGATCATCTCTAGAATTTATAAAGATAAGAAAATTAATGGAAGTTAAATTAAAAATCCCAAAATGCCCCTTTTATTTTGTTCCTTGTAAATACGTATAGTTATATATTATCACATCTCCAAACTATCCTTTTTATAATTTAAAGTAATATGAATACAGTCCAAGTAAACTTTCACACATCTTACGATTAGGAGTTATTCTGAAGATATTGGCCTAAGACATTTTATATTTTGCATAGTGATAAACTGTCATGAGATTTTTCAATTTCTTTTTAAATAAATTCTATATTCTGGTGGCTCTGATCATCAAAGAGCAGTTAGATCCTATTGATAACACAGATAAATCGAAGACATAGCATACTGTATATTAGAACCTAAAAAGAATCAAATGTTCTCATTATTCATAATTTGGGTTGTACTTTCTGTAATATCTCTTTGTCTTTTTTGAATTAAGATTTGTATTTGAGGGATTGACCATGGACTGAATGACCTTGTGCTCATTAAACATTAGGTTATACCTGTGAAGCAGCTTTGTAAACTGCAAAGTACTGTGAAAATCTAGTATAAATGTTTTGAAAAGTGCTCTTTGCTCATCCTATACATGAAAAGGAGACTTTTAAATTGGCTTAATGGAAAGAAATCCAAGACTTTTCTCTCTGTCTTTGGCACAATGAATTTAATAATTTATAGTAGAGATTTATTTTTCCTTCACATACAAAAGTAAAAATGTTTGGCCTGATAAAATAACTGCATTTAGGGCTTTTATTAGTGATAACACTCAGGGACATAGATCTTTACTTTGGAAATGGAACTTGGGTCTCCAGATAGCAAATCACTGGGACTTTGTTCACTCTATGAATGAAGCACATTGCCAGAAAGTCACTTCCAAAGAATCAATAGTGTGTTTACACTGGAAATGTTTGTAAAAAAGCTTGGACTGCCATCCACCCTGTACGCACTTTGTGGATTATCTGGGGAAAATATCTAAAAGTTGACTGGTTTTCCTCTGCCACCTAGTTAACGTCTTGCTTTCCTCTCCCAGTGTTTTAAAGAATGCAAACTAAGTTCAGCATTTGTGTACACAACATATCATTGTGAGCTTGATTCTACTGAAAAAAATAAGAGAAGTAGTCCCAGGGTCATATATAAATGGTTAACCATTACTCATGCCACTGTGATCTGTGGTTCACAGACAATGAAGAGGTGCCTGTAGTTTGCTTCTGCACATCTGTTGTGTCAAGTACATCCCAGGTCGTAAGTGTTTCCAATTTTCGGTTAACAGAACTCACAGTTTTACTTTTCTGAATTGCAGGTGGTTTTCATGAGCCTGTGCAAAAGTTTCTGGGACTGTGGACTTGTAGCCCTGGATGACATTACAATAGAATTGGGAAGCTGCTGGTCTCCAGGTAAGACGGCGGTCATTTCAGCTTTCTTTTGTCTCCCTGGCCGATTCATGGCATGTCCTGTTTCTCTAAGAACATACCACATACATTTAATCTGTGCTAGTCTGTCCTTTGCCTTTCTTGTCAGAAGTGCCTCTCTCATTTAGAAATGATGCCTTGAATGCAATGTGTGTCTTTGTACATATGACTTGACCCCTGTATCTTCATCTATAAGAGAGGTGGTAATACCTACCTGAAAAGTGGGGATAGTACACTTAAATTCCCTAGTGTAGGACCTGGCACAAAACAGCGCTTTAAAAACAAATACCTTCTATTATAATTCCTTTTGTTATTATTATTGTTGTTGCCTCATACGCATGCAGATTTTCAAGAAATATTGATGAAATTGTTATTATACATAGACTAGGTAAACATATCATATCTAAATGATAATAAATATTTTCCAAGTGAATTAAATGACAGTGGAACAATGGAGCAAGTATTGATGATAGTGACAAATATTGTGGCTGTGTGTTGGACCGTATGTCTAATGAGAAAATTGTGCATACCTCAACCCAAATCATTGGTTTCTATCTACTAGTTACCACTGCATCCTAAGTCTCAGGGTATCCATTTCTTTAACAAACAGGCAAATTGTGGCATCAATTTGGCACCAGAGAATAATCTCCATGTTTATTTAATCAAAAGATAATTTGTTTGTAGTCGATTTGTGTGGCACTGCAAGAACAGCATAAAACAAGATAAAAATCTCTACACTCAAGACGTAGAAAAGGGAATGAGGCTTCATTAGCTTGTAGTGTATATAAAATAAAATGAAGTAAAATAATTATCATGCAAGAGATGGAAAAGATAAGCTATTTATTAGAGAATCTAGAGGTAGGGAGGTACAACCAAAGAAGTCCCCAGGAAGTTGGGAGGTGACACCACTCTAATAATAATCATTATTACAGTTATTGAAGATAACACCCAAAGACATAAACATTTGTTTGTTTTTGGAAATGGAAAATAAGCCTCCAGGTAGCAAAACACCAAGTTCTAATATATATTTAGCTAATATTTATTGAGAACTTCATGTTCTAAATATTTTACATACATCATCTTATTTAATCCTCACAACCCCCTGAGGTGGATACCACTAATATTCCCACATTACAAATAAGAATGCTGAGGCACAGAAAAATTCAGTAACCTGCTCCACACATATTAAGCTATGTCTCCAAAATCACATTTAATTCTTTCACATTCTCCCCCTCCTCCAAAGCAGCTATAGAGTTGCTCTGAGGATTCCCTTCACTCATTCTGGATTTCTGAAGAAAGCTCCTGCATGCCGTTTTATTATTTTTATGTTTCCATAGAGGCAACATACCTCCAATTTTCAGAGCCTTATAAGCTCATTCACACAAATAAATTCACAAGTCAGAGAAAGTTTCTTTCTCAAAGTATTCCCATACTTTTGGATCTAGATTTCTGATTGTTCTCTGCCTCTCTGGCAGAACCTAGGGTGGAGTCCAGCCTCTAGCTAGAAGCACCAGCGTGGCTTAGGTGGGCTTCTGGTGAGGGGGCTGCCTCTTCATGTGGGGCATGTGGCCAGACGACACCCATACGTGCAGCACGTGCTTCCAGTGAGCCTTGGAATACATATTCATTGAAAGAGCCTCAGCAATTGTAACACCTGCTGTTTCCTTGCAGAGAAGCTTCCAACTCCACCTGGAGAGTGTACTTTCGAACAAGATGAGTGTGCATTTACTCAGGAGAGAAGGAACCGGAGCAGCTGGCACAGGAGGAGGGGAGAAACTCCTACCTCCTACACAGGACCAAAGGGAGATCACACTACTGGGGTAGGTGAGTTATGCCACATGGTGCTGTTTCCTAAGGAAACCAGAAATAGCATTCTAGGGGTCATTTACTGCATTTTGAAATGGGAAAAATGATGTGTCTAGAATGAACTGCACGTGGGATGCTACACATGTGGGGTAGGTAATTCAGTATGTGCATTTAAAATCATTCTTTCTGTTTATTACATTGCTTATATATCTTGCTGGAAAAAGGATTTAAAGAGCTTACAAAGATATGCACACAAAGATAATTTAATTAGAGGTAGGTTTAAAAATAAAAGAGAGATGGACAAAAATGAAAAAAAAGTATATGATGATGTAAACTTAAGCCCAGGACTCAGACCTAGTATAGAAATATGCTGGCAGACAGGGGAGGAGATATATCAGTTTGAGTCCTCACTTTCTAGAAACTGAAAAAGATGGAAAACTCATCTGTAAAACATCACTTACAGTGTTCTTAGGATAGAAACAGATGAAGCAGTCCATCAATGGGTGGAGGCAATAAGGAGGTGCATTTTCTGTAGAAAATGTATGAACTACAATAAACTAGGCTAAAAGTTGATCTACTTCTTATTATCACCATGTGTCAGCAATTGTAAACAATGTCAGTGATATAAATACTCCCTAAAGAATTGACCTTTCTCACTGATCCTCTCAATTTTAATTGGTATACCAGTTGGATAACAGCACATCATTTGGCCCAGAAAAAAAGAAATATCCCTGATACTAAGATTATAGAGATATTTCCTGAAGCGTCCTTACAGAGAGTTGCATAGTGCTGTTTCTTATGGTCTACCTCAAGATAAGTCTAGGGAATAACACCACAGAGCAACCCATAGCATAACCTATTTGTTGAATTGGCTTAATTTGGTAGGGTGCAATCAGGAACAGCTTTGTTTTTTCTTTCCAACACTCTCTTCAAACATACCCTAGAGAATTCTCCCTTCCCTACCCCTTGGCAGATCCCATAGCTTCTCAGTCTGATTGAGGTATAGGAGCCGCCACACATTCAGGTATGCTAAAAAGTCCAATTCAAATTAAAACTTCAGTTTCTCATTCAAGCAAATCATCTTTCTCCCTCAGCATGGGCCTGATTCATAGTTTGGAGATGATAAAAGGGAAGACTCTCTGTGCTTTAACTGTGTTTAACTTCCTCCTCTGCCCCTCATCTTCATGATCATTTAGCCAGGGTGAGTGGAGGAGGGATTAAAAGAAAATAACTTTTAAAATGTTTGGTGCTATTTCAAATTCTTTCTTGGATATTGAAATACCTTCTGTTATGACAGATATCTAAATACTGGCTCTTTGGAGACGGTATCTAAATGCTGCCCCTTTTGCATCTTACCATTTTCGGCACTGTACTCTCTGGCTGATCTCCTATGGCTACCCCCTCTTCCCCTAGCGCTTGCACTACAGAGGTACAACTCACACAGATTTTCTGCGTACGTTCCTCCTGACAGTTTTGACTTGGGTCCTTCTGAGAGCCTTTGGTTCCAGCCACCTTCCCAGTGAGTATCGATTTGGCCTCGGATCCTAAATGCACCTTTGCCTGACTAAGAAGAAGATGTGCAGCTTGGTCCTCCCACTGACCTCTCTTTCCCTCCTGTTGCTTCAGAGAGTCTGGGACAGTGTTGCATCAGTTAGGGATGCTGTTGAAGAGATTCAGCCTTGGTTCGACCAGGTTCCAGCACTGAGTAGAAGATTCTAAGAGAGCTCTAAGAGTGTGTGAGACTATATCTGGAAAGACAAGGAAGTTAAAAAAGATGACAAAAAGGACTTGTATATGTTAGGACTATTTTGGTTGGGAACAGTTTGTTACCCTTTGTAACAGAAAGAAAGGCCATTTCAGGGCCGACTTCAGGCATAGCTTGATGTAGGGGATAAAACTATGTCACTGGGATCAGTCTCTCTCTCCATCTCTCTGCTCTGATTTTTCAGAGTTGGCTCCAATCTCAGACAGGCTGTCCTCTCATGGTAGCAAGAAGCTACCGCAGCTGTAGCCTCATGGCCTTTCAACACTGAATCTAGTGAAAAGAGATAACTCAAACCAACAAACAAAAAATGAGTCTCATTAGCTCTGATTGGCAGTGTATTGAGGGCAGAGTACTATCAAATTCCTGTTTGAATCCCCACAGGGCTTACTATTGTACCTTATACACTACAGAGGCTCAAAAATGTCCATGGAGTGAATAAATGAACCTACAAGCCTTCATTGATGTATATAAGAATAACTAACCATTTAGTTAGCAAGACCCCTAGAAAATGTTATAATGGGGAGAAACTAAATTACAAGAGGAGTAGAGAAAGACCAAGAATAAATCAGCTTTATTTCGAGTCCATTGTATTCACGACGTTGTCTGTATGTATGATTTCCTCGGGGAGGGAGTTGATAGCTTTTCTTCCATTTCTCAGGAACACCAAGAAGGCTAACAACAACAGATCTGAGAAGAGGGCCATGCTGTGGTGGACGACCACAAGGGAATCCTCTGGGTAACAGGCCATGCCATGTCTTAGACACAGAAGAGAGGACAAAACAAAAATAGTGAGCAGTGGAGAGAGGGAGTCTCTGAAAAGGGCAAGGAGGGTCACCAGGCCTGGTTATAACAGAGCCATGAACTATGGTATCAAGGCTCCCCACTCACTAGGTATGAGACCTTGAGAAAGTTACTTAAAATCTCTAAGTCTCAGTGATGTCATCTAGAAAATGAGAATAATTATAGCTACTTATCTGTTTGCTTACTTCAGAGGATGGTTGAGTTTAAACTTGTTTAACTTGTAGATGACATTCTACCTCCTCCCCATACACAAAATCTATGAAAGTCTTACAAAAGCGCATGCAGTAGAAATTCCATTACTCATCATTTTGCTCCTTTATTTACGTTGTTCCTGGTTTAAGGGCACATGTTAGTTAACTTCGTGTGGCTTTGTTTAAAGAAAATGATATGATTGTGTTTGCATTGTCTCTTTGAAAACTTTGAAGAATGTTTCACCTGGCTGGGGTGAAACTTCATAACAAAAATTGCAATGCAAAAACTTCTTAGTGTGTTCAATACTTATTCCAAGAAAATAATTGACACAGTGTACAACACAGAGAATTCTGTTTTTGTATAATTTTTTTTCCCAGTAAATTGCTTCTAAGATTTGCCTTCTTCTCCATCCTTCATTTCACCTGTTTCAATGCAAACTTCCTAAAGGTTCTCAAGACACCTTTCAATTTTCTAACCATATAAAATTTTTTACAGATTGTATCTTTTTATTCCTATGTACAACAATGCAGAGGGGTAGCAAATTTTGCTATGTGGTGCCCAGGGTACCTACAGATATAGCACTGGAGTTTTATGTCTTGGTTTTGTTCTTTAAGTTACTTTAACAGTTATTCTACTGGGGAAATAATAATATCTAGTGATCATTTATGGAGCGTTTACCACATGCAGGCACTGTGCTGGGACCTTTATATCCTGTCTTAGTCAGTTTGAGATGCTATAACAAAAATACCATAGACTGAGAGGCTTAAATAACAACATTTATTTCTCACAGTTCTGAAGGCTGAGAGGTTCAAGATCAAGGTGCTGGCAGATTCGGAGCCTGGTGAGGGCCCGCCTCCTGGTTCATGGACAGCAGTCTTCTTGCTGTGTCCTCACATGGCAGAAGAGGCAAGGGAGCTCTCTGAGGACTCTTATAAGGGCACTAATCCCTTCTCTGAGAGCTTGGCCCTCATGACTTAATCACCTCCCAAAGATCTTACCTCCAGTTACCATTATATTGGGGATTAGGATCTCAACATATAAATTTCAATAAATAAACATTCAGTTGATAACACATCCTTACCACAACTTGTAAAGTATGTGAAAGTACCCATTTTTCATATGAGAAAACTGAAGGTTGGAGAGGTGCCTTTCCAGGGCCACACAGCAATAAGTGGTAGAGTAGGGACTGAATCTCAGGAATGTTGGGCTCTAATGTCCACATTCTTTCCACACTGCCTTACCACCAGAGTTTCCCAGCCTACATGATAGTAAGAGACCACACATGACCTGGGACAGTTGTGACAGCTTATACGTGAAAAGCACAATTCTTCACTTAGCAGCGTAATCTCAACCCTATTACCCTTCGCACCAAAGAGGGGTGTCTGCTCTTAGAAAGGATATATTCAAACTGATGGTAGTTTTAGACATCCACTGAAATGTATCCAGCAGAAAGTATCTAAATTTTTTCTGACCTGTTTCTAGTGTCAGTGAACAAATATTGTCAGTTTAACTCCAGGACTGCAGCTCACACACCCACTGTGTATCCTAAACCTTCAAAGGGTGGCTTCCCCTTTTCCTGGCCTCTAGTGGCCTAATGTGGGCTGATATATTGTCTCTCAGATCACAGTATGACAAGGATCACCCATTCAAAAATTAAAACATAAGCAATTAAAGGCCCTTTTAAAACAATTGTTTATTTGTTAAAACCACCAGTGTCATAAGCTACATGTGCATAATGTAAGATGAAACATCTTAGGACTGGGGGAAACCATAAATGTTATTTAGTGTAGGGTCTCTACGATCTTGATTTATTCCATATTTTCTGAGGACCCACTATGGATTAGGCTGCAGAACTATAATTGCCGCGGAATTACAATAAAGTAAGGTAATAACAGTTAAATTCTAGAGATGATGGAACCACGCAGAGAGGAACAGTTAGCTCTCCTTGGGAGCATCTTAAAGAATGAGTGGGAATTCATCAAGAAGAACATCAGGGAGTAGGGAAGCATTTCAGGATGAGGGAATGACAGGTGCAAAGCATGGAGCCATTAAGCAGTATGGCAGCTTCAGGGAACTGCAAGTGATTCTACCTGGCTGCCATGTAGGATACTGTCAGCCAGAATTCCCAAGATAGTGAAGTCTGAGATATAGGCTTGTATGCAGGTAATACGTTCGGAGATGTGATCCCAAAGAGTACGAGTGTGGGGCAAAGGCATCAAAGCAGGGAAAGAGGGAGAGCTGATACGAGGATGCATC